CATGGTCCTTAAGGGGACTCGTGGCCTTTCTATGGCAGGCTGGGAAAATAGAGGCAGGAAAAAGACCCCCAACCTTTACCTGTTCTTCCCAGCCATGTCAGCTGGCTTCAGAGTCAAACAAACAATCAAAACAAATAAACAGCCCCTTCCAAAAATAATCCAACCCTAAACAAACCAAGATATTTCCTTTAAAAAAGCAGTTTGTATAGAATCACAGAATCATTAAGGTTAGAAAAGACCTTTAAAATCATCAAATCCAATCACTAACACAGCACCAATAAACCACATCCTAAAATGCCATATCAATATGGTTTTTAATACTTCCAGGGATGGTGGCTCCACCACTTCCCTGGGCAGCTTTATAACCCCTTCCATGAAGAAATTTTTCCTAATACCAATCTAAACCTCATACCAATCTAAACCTCTTCTCTATCTCTAAATAGTCTTCATTGGTCACCCAAGCCAGTTAGTGCCTCTGGTGTAGCTACACCTTCCAGATGAGAGCCTGAGCTCCTCTTGGAGGCTTGAGATGTCACTTTTAATGGCTTTTTTTCCCCTGTCCATTGAGTGGGGGAGTCTGTTGGGAAAATAGTGGTAGATGTTATTCATCTGTCTTTCACTGGAGGATTTCCTTTCTTCAGAAACTGCCTCTCTTCCCCCTGAATGGGCTCATACCCATAAAGTCAGTAATTGGGAAAGTTTTCTCCCCCAGCCCCCTGTGTTTTTCAGGGCTTTGAATCTCCTGCAGAAGAGAACATCTTTTCACTGTGAAACTCAGTAGTTTTTCATACAGGGGTAGTTATGTTAGTAGGAAAAAATGCTCCTTGTTCAGGTATATTTGGAAAGTATAATTTTAAATACAACTTCAGAGACTGGGATTTCCTGTTTATAAACTCTCCAGGTTGTTTTACCCTGGCAGCTGCTTCCTCAGCTCAGAGAGGAGGATTTGGCCCAGAGGGCACCACAGTCAGTGTAGGCTCCTCTCTGTTGCTGTGCCCTGAGTTTCCAAGGTTCCAGACACCCCCTGCTCCTCTGGTGAGTGTTCTGGAGAGGGAGCTGGGCAGGCTGTGCCCCAGGCTGGCTGAAAGCCTGGCACTGCCTGCTCTTGGTGGGAGAGGAAGGCTGGCTTCCCCACCAGAGAGCAGGTATCCCTCTTGGTCAGCAGAGCAGGAGAGGAGCTGCAATTCCATGCTGCAGACTCTCCCAGAAATCCCACTGCTCTTCCTGGGCTGCCTGAGGAGCTTGGGATGAAGCTTCACCAGAGGGAAGCCAAGCCAAGAGCTTTCTGCTGCCAAACAAGGCAGTTTTACTGCTTCCATGCACATTCCTGGCTGTTAAACCAGCAGAAAACTGCTGTTTTCTTTTTCCCCCCTTGGGATTTGTTTGCTGCCAGCATGTGAGCAAGGAGTCAGATAAGTGCCAGAATTGATGCAAGGAAAGGAAGGAACAGCAATGTGGGAGAAGAAGGGGTAGAGTGTAGCTGCACCCTTTCAGCATCAGTGAGCCCATGGGGTGCTGTGGCCACTTAGGGAAAACATTGGCAAATGCACTTGTTAGGCTGGTTTATTCTCCTTTCTATTTTTTGTTTTTCTCTTCAGACTCAAATGCCTGAATTCACCCTCTAAAATCAAATGTGGCGATTGCATAATGTGTTTTTATGCCAGTATCATCAGAGCTATCAAAATTAGGAGTGTTTTCACTACTAAACACTAGTGTTTAAATAAAATTAAAAAAATAAAATTATATAAAATACTAAATACACAGTAGCATTTGTCCCTTCATACCAGATGCTGGCAGTCCAAACACAAGGTTAGCACAGGAGCCAGTTAATGTGACTGAATTTTTGCATCTGATAATAAATTTATAAACCAAATCTATTTTAATGCATAAAAAGGCCCATTTCTCTCCCAGGCTTGGCCCCAACTTTCAGTGGTCAACATGAGACAGACCCAAATCCCAGCATGTGGGTTGTTCCAGCAGCTGGGACAAGCCAACCGGAGCTTCAGTCCATCCCTGCTTCTGTCACAGGAGTGCACCTTGCAGTAGGAAAGGGAGCCACTGGCCAAAGCTGAGACTTCCAAATCTGGACAATTAATACCTGGTTACCGTGCAAGCCCTTGGATTGTCCTGAAATTCCATGTCTTAGTAACCAGGTGGGCTTAACCTCAGTCCTGTACAGACTGAAGAGTGACACAAGAATCCAGAAGCAGCACATTGGCCACAGACTGTCTCAATGGACTAAGACATCAAACTTTGCAGGAATCACTTTTATCTGTAACTTCACTCCTTTTTCTCATCTAATTTTGGCCTGGTTGTAGCTTTGGGGATAACTAAGGCCAGAAGGAGTATTCTGTGTGATCAAAAGAGCCGTAATCCCTCATCTCTTCTTAAAAAGTGGTGTTTTTTCAAACCTTGTCAGAAAGTTTAAGATCTGTGATCCTCCTTAGGGTGCAAAACAGAACTGAAAAGTCCTGATTTTCAGTCTAGTTTTGTCTTTGCTGCTGTTTTACTTCTTTGTGTTGTTCAAAGGGTTTCCTTGTTATGGTGTCCTAAAATTTCACTTGGCAAGAGTTTCTCTTCTGCTGACAGTTGCTCTTTCAGAGCACCTTGATGCTGGTGTAGCTGGAAGCTCAGGAGCCTGTGAGGTCCCCATTAGGCCACTGTCACATCAAGTCCAGCCTAATGTTCAGTGTTTCTTGGTTTTTTTTCCCTCAAATTTATTAGTAACTCGCCTTCCAATGAGCAGATCTGTACCTTGGCAGTAAATAGTCTCATCCTTGTGTGCCAGGAGTGTCAGGGTGACAAGGGAGACACAGCCCTTCCTGCTGTAGGTCATTCTGCCTTTCACAACTCCTGTGAACCTTCATGAAGTATTGTTCCTCTAGAACTGCTGGATCAAAGTGAGTCCCTGTGATGTCCTTTCTGCTGTCCTGCAAAACCCACAGTTCACCTGGTATTGCAGTCTGATGCCATCACATCCAGTGATAGATGGATGTTCTCAAACACTCTGTAATTGTTCCTTCTTTTTTCCTTTTCCCGCACCTGCTGCTTTGTAATATTCTGCTGTGTGATGACTGACAGAGGGATCAGATTGACTTTCTGTGCTCTCCTTTATCCAGCTAAACTCATTCACCACTCTGGCTTTACCAGTTTTTGGTTTGGTTACTAAAGTTTGAACACTGCTGTCTTGTTTACTAACATCCAGTAGAGATAGAGTCATGTGAAGCTGCAGGGTTTGCATGTTGTGACAGAAACTTGGGGTTTGTGTCATTGACTGTCAGTGTGTTCCTGTGCATGATTTTGATTCTTCATCCTTGATGCATGAAAATAATTCAATATATTTCCAGCTCATTTTGAGAAAAATAAAAGTTGTGCAGCTGTGAGTTATACAACTACAGTGTTGTGTTACAGCTTTACAAATTTGTAGTGGTGGTTTGTATCATAAATCAATAACTAAGGCAGAGAACTTCAGAAATAGGGTGGGGATTAAAGGTGCAGTGTCCTAAGTCAGGACTAGCCACATTTTCTATGACTTCATCTCACAAAAGACAACTTAGAATTATAGAATCATTAAGGCTGGAAAAGACCTTTAAGATCATAAAGTCCAAAAAGACATTGCTCAAGGTAAGAGAAAATCAGAGTTTCAAATTGGTGTGGCAGAAGAGATGAGAAAAGTCATGAGACAAATGGAGTGACAAGTCAGGAGCTCTTATTCTGCCTCACAGTACAAGGGGTGTTCAAAGAAGTAAGAAGGTGATAGACTGAAAAGTGACACAAAGGGAGGGAGTAAATTGCTACATCACTTGATTTTGAAACCTGCTGCTGCTGCAGAGAGAGTTTACCAGTGCCTGTATAGTCTGAGCCATAGACTGCTGAATGCTGGTGCAGTTTTGTTAATTCATCAGATTTAATGCCTTGAGTGGGATCTGAACTCCTGACTTACTTCCTGCAGGGTGTGCTGATCTCCAGAGCCTTGACACCATGCAGCCCATGGAAAGGAAAAGGCAGGGCTACATTCACGAGCTCATTCAGACGGAAGAAAGGTACATGGACGATCTGCAGCTCGTCGTAGAGGTGAGATGTCTTGGATGTGAAAGTGCATTTGGAAAAAGAACACCTCTATACTGCAAAATAACAATAAAGGGATTCTTATGAATTGTGAGATGATGGAGGAAGAAAGGTGTGCAGGCACCTCCTTTTCCAGTGAATATGTGGTTGCTCACCAGGCAAAAGCACCACTTGGTGAAACCCATCAGCTTACAAAGACCTTCCTGTTTTCCAAATCCAGATGATGGGTTGGGGCCAGGTGTCAAGCACTGGGCTGTAGAAGCACCATAAAAGCTTATCATGTACCTTCTCCCCAGTTTTATTTCTGGAAGCGAGACCACCTCCCTCAGCAGGGCATTAAGTGCTCTTGGGTGTCCAACTTGAGCTCCCTGTACAGAACAATGGTGTGGTGAAGTGTGGCACATGTTAAATAGTCAAGTCACAGAGTGCTCTGCTCCCCAGAGATGAGGTGCTCAGGGCCCCTGAGAGCAGCTGTGGTTCTGCACACAGGGTGACCCTGAGTGCTCTGGGTCAGGGGAGAGGAGCAGTGCCTGAGTGTAATTTGTGCAGTGATTGATACTGAAATCACGGGAATGCTTCTGCTGAGCTGTCAGCCTGCAGGTCCCAGTGCTTGTCCTCACTTTGCAAATGCTGGTGCCAGTGTCAGAATGGGGTCGCATGCTCAGGGGAAACAGCTGTCACAAGTGCTAGTAAGAAATTGCTTTTAACTGCTGAGAAATTAGACACTAAGCATTCAAAAAAAGTCACTGCTGGGCTAAGCAAGAGGCTGAGCTGTTTCTGTTCTCTGAAGAATTGCTCATTTTTTGTCTGTAGGTTTTCCAAAAACCAATGGCTGATTCAGGCTGTCTCACAGAAGGAGAAATGGGGCTGATCTTTGTTAACTGGAAGGAACTCATCATGTCAAATACAAAGTTATTGAAGTGAGTACTTACCTGCAGTCTTACATTTTCCTTTTCATTATTCTGTCATTCTTTCCCCAGGAAGTTTGCTGGGTTTACAGTCAATATTGTGTCCTTGCTGATTATTTCCTGTGGATGCTTGCATTCAAAACAGCTGAATGCAGTCAGACTGCTTCAAAAGGAGCTGTAATAAGAGAGAGGGAGAAATAAACAGCAAGAACAGATGTACATTTGCTGTAATATCTTAGAAACAGGACCTACATAAAAGTAGGGAGCTTTTCTTCCCAGTTTTCTGCAAAGCAACCTTTTATTCTCTAAAAACAATCTTTAGAAAGATACAGTGGCTAGTAATTCACCGAATGGGATACTGGTTGAAAGTAGGGATTGGTGCTGATTGTCCCAGAAACCTCAAAGGAGAGTCCCAGTCCCCCAGACTCTGTCAGGGAGATGGTTCACTCAGGGTGTTGTGTCAGGGTGACTTCCTGGGGTTTCAGGCAGGATCCTGGCAGCTCCTGGAAGTGCTTGTGCTGTGTAAGGCAATTCACCTGCCAGCTTTGTGTCCTTTCAGAGGTGGATCTGTAAGGGTTGTGATTTAGGCCTCGCAGACTTGGCAGCAAAGTTGGATGTTGATCTTTCCTCGTCCGCAGAGCCTTGCGGGTGCGGAAGAAAACCGGAGGCGAGAAGATGCCGGTGCAGATGATCGGGGACATCCTGGCAGCAGAGCTGTCCCACATGCAGGCCTACATCCGCTTCTGCAGCTGCCAGCTCAACGGAGCCTCCCTGCTGCAGCAGAAAACTGACGAAGATGCTGATTTCAAAGACTACTTAAAGGTATCTGACTCAGTGGCTTTTGTGCCCTCTCCTTTCCTCAGTGACAGGAGCCCATCTAACCAGCATCGACTACATCAAAATAACCCAGAAGTGTAAAATCCTGCAAAAATAGCTAAGAAGCTTCCAAGGTGTATTTACATGGTGACCATGGCTAACATTGTGTGTGCTCTTTATAACATTGTCTTTCTCTCTAGCTAATTTATTTAGGCCATAAAAGGAAAATTGCCAGAACAGTTGACATCAGGCATTTGTTTCTTTTATTGCTTTGTTGTTTTTCAACCTGAGTGGAGCCTGTGTGTCAAAACAAAAGGTGGAACAGTTTTGAATGTAAGGATTCTGCATGAACAATGACCTTGTGATTTATGCTGATAAAGCATCTGGGAGCAATGACACTGCCAGCTTTCCTGGAGATACAAGTAGTGTTTGCTTACTGAAAAAATCCAAGATCTCTTGGATGCCTGGAAAAATGAACCTGATCAGAGAATTTTCAGTATTCAGTGCCAGTGACGCAACTGTTTTCTGATGACTAATGCAGTGTCTCTGCTAAATCTCTGGCTTGCACCACAGAAACTTGCCCTGGACCCTCGCTGCAAAGGAATGCCCCTCTCCAGCTTCCTCCTGAAACCCATGCAAAGGATAACACGCTACCCCCTGCTCATAAAGAGTGTGAGTACCCCAAGTGAGGTTTTGTAGGTGAACACTTTGAGTTTGATCTCCATAGCAAAAGCCAAGATAAAGGCTTGTCCCTTTATGGGGATTGCCCTGACAGGATTACCTCTGTTTTTACCTTGCTTTCTCCCCTCTTTGATCCACACCAGATTCTAGAAAACACTCCAGAGAGCCACCTGGATCACAGTAGCCTCCGGCTCGCCCTGGAGCGTGCAGAGGAGTTGTGCTCCCAGGTGAACGAGGGCGTGCGGGAGAAGGAGAACTCGGACAGGCTGGAATGGATCCAGGCCCACGTCCAGTGTGAAGGCCTTGCTGAGGTACCTGCACTGATGCTCTGCAGGGCTGGGGCTTTTCAGAGTCATTTCAGCAAGGCTGGGGAGGGAATGGGAGTCCTTGCTGACATCCCTTATTGGAACGTGATCCACTGCTGAGCTCTAGGCAGGGAAGCTTTTACTGAATTCTAGTCACAGCCATAACGTGATGAACCAATGTTTTCGCATGACTGTAGTGGCAGAGAAATCTTGATTTATCAGCTTAAAATGGTATCAGCTGGTACCATTTAGACCATTAAACAGACAGAAATAACTCTTCTCTCTGAACTCCTGATCATGCTGCCACTGGGCTAAGTCAGGTGTTACTATGGAGGATTTCACTTAGTGTGTGTTTCCCAGGGTTTTCCTTCAAGCAGGCAGGGAATAGCAGTCCTCAGTGCCAGATCCTCAAGGATATGTGGTGTTCAGGCTCCTGTACCTTTCAGGACAGCCTTCAAACTGAGGTGTGTGTGACAGTTCTCCACTGCATAAGGAACCAGGGCTTGCAGCCCCAGAAGGTCTGTCCTGTTCCATCACCTAATCAGCTGTAAGAGGTGACCTGACTGCAGCCTGTGCAGCCTCTTCTCAAACACAGAAGGGGCCATGCAGTAAATGCCTCCATCTGGTCATCTCTTTGTGTGTTTTTGGTAAAGATTAAATCTCCTCTGAGGTGGGAATTGTGCTGTGGCCACAGCTGATCACAGAACAGTTCCCTTCTCTTCATTTATAATGGAATTCATTAAAATTAAAGAGCATTTTCAGCAGCTTGGTCAGTCTCCACAGTGAAGAGGAGCAGGAGCTGATGTCTGCACAGACTTGCTGCTGCTAATGGGTTTTGTCTCTTCCCAGCAACCTGTGTTCAACTCCCTCACAAACTGCTTGGGACCACGGAAGCTCCTGCACAGTGGGAAGCTGTACAAGGCCAAAAGCAGTAAGGAGCTGTATGGATTCCTTTTCAATGACTTCCTGCTGCTCACCTACATGGTTAAACAGTTTGTGTCTTCCGGATCCGATAAACTGTTCAGCCCTAAATCCAACTCCCAGTTCAAAATGTACAAAATGGTGAGTGAGTGAAGGTGCTCCAAGTGTTGGTACAGTGGGTCCTGGCTTCTGATGAGGAATGCTGCTCTCCCACTGGCATTAGCTGTGTGCCCCTTTTGCTGTCACACGGGCACGTTCTGGCAAACAACATGCACAAATGATGTTGGCTTAGTACTTGGAAAAGGACAGACTTCTGCAAATTGGTTTAACTAACACTTCCATCCACTTTGGGGGAAGGGGCAGAAGTAGCATCATGCCTGAACAGCTGAGTGGGATGTTCAGAAGCAGGAGCCTTGACTTCAGTTTGCACAGGTTCCTGCATCCACAAGAAAATTCCTGTCCTTCAGAAAATAGTAGAAGATGCAAAATTTTAGTCTCTGTGCCCACACACTGTGTGTTCTCAAGATTCTGAAACTGGAGACATAAGTATCAGGGCTGCTTTCCCACAGAGAACCTGAGAGATTCCTGGATTTCGGAGCTCCAGACTGCAGCTCTGCTTGCACACTCCTTCCCCTTTCACAAAGCTCTTTGCCTAGGAAAGCAGAATGGGGTGAATTGCCAGAGAAGTTTTTCTCTCAGCCCTTTCTTGCATCCTTTACATGGTGATCTCATTGTTCTGTGTCCTATGACTTCCATTTTCCCTACAGTAAAACTGTATTTAAACATGCATACAGGGTTTCTGCCTATTATCAGGGGGTGATGCTGCCATGGTGACATTTGCTTTTCTTTCAGCCGGTTTTCCTTAATGAAGTCCTCGTGAAGCTGCCCACAGACCCTTCAAGTGATGAGCCAGTTTTTCACATATCACACATTGACAGAGTTTACACACTTAAAACTGACAACATTAATGAGCGGTGAGTAGTGAAAATGCAAATCTGAGCTTAAACTTGTTCATTGATGCTGCAGGCTGTGTTTCCAGTGAGCTGACACAGGGACTCTGAGCTCAGGAACAGAGCTGTCTCTTGGTCAGGAAATAAACTCATTTGACTCCCATTTGAATGAGAAGTTTTCTCTGATTTTGTTCTGCTTCTGCAGCAGCTCTTGCAGTATTCCAAGCCCCATCTGCTGCTCCTTGATGTTTCAGTTCTATCGAAGAACAGTTTAGGGCTGCAAAATCCAGCATCCCATAGGACTCTTCCCCAGTCCTGAGCAGTCTTTAATATGACCCAGGAGTCTTTAATAAAACAGCAGCTCCATGTCCATTTATTGAGGCTGATTTGGCATAAGATTAAGTCAAAAAACTCCATCACCTTAGTCCATGAACTGACTTGATTTGTGATGCCTCTAAAATTTAGGGAGGGGAGAATGAGGAGGGAGAGTGTACAGAGTCACTGAAGATTTTGCTGCCTGTAGGATGATCCTGACTGTAGGGATTGCTCTTTGCAGGACTGCCTGGGTCCAGAAAATCAAAGCGGCGTCAGAGCAGTACATTGAAACGGAGAAGAGGAAACGTGAAAAGGCTTATCAAGGTACCCACCGAGTTCTGTATTTCCCTCTGTCCACCTGGATACAGGGGCAGGCCATTTCCTGGAGGATGCCAGTGTCTCCTTCAGATCTATTACCAGTTCTTACAGTTCCAACTAATCTGTTTATTTCTGACCTCTTTGTTCCCAGCTCGTTCACAGAAAACCTCAGGAATAGGACGCTTGATGGTGCACGTGATTGAAGCAACGGAACTAAAGGCCTGTAAGCCCAATGGTAAGTGAGGGAAACAGTCTCAGAGCACTTTTATTCCTGTAACACTTGGAAAGGCTTGCTGAGAGGAGTTGGTCATTTGGGAATCCCTGTGGTTTGTCTACAGTTTCTATATGAAATAGCCATTCTTTAGCTTCAGAGGAAAGAGTGAAGAACCAGCTCTGTGCTGCTCTGGGATACAGGATTGCCTGATCCACATCATCTGGCAGCAGCATTGATGTGTGTCCAGGCAGGCTGCAGATGGAGGGGGAGGTTCTGTACTGCAGAGGGGTTTCACTCTGTGTTTTGTGTTTAGGGAAGAGCAACCCATACTGTGAGATCAGCATGGGCTCACAGAGCTACACTACCAGGACCCTGCAGGACACCCTGAACCCCAAGTGGAACTTCAACTGCCAGTTCTTCATCAAGGATCTCTATCAGGATGTCCTGTGTATCACCATGTTTGACAGGGATCAGTTCTCACCTGATGGTAAGTGTGAGTATTTAGGCAAAGAATGCTTTTTTGTTAGCTGAGCTACCCAGTTCCTCAGCAGCAGTTTCAAGAGCCTGTAGGTCTGACTGCTGCCTGAGAAATGTTAGGTGAAAACAATGCCTCAGTACTCAGGAGGTTCAGCAGCCTTCCAGAGCCAGTAACTCCAGGCAGTCAGATTTGATCCCAATCTGGCTTTTGTATCAGACACAGAATTATTTTCTTGTCAGACTGAGGAGACAGACAAGTTGAAAGCAGAAGTTCTACTCACAATAGGTGCTCAAAAATAAGGTCCTGGGTTATATTTTCCACAGCAACAGCTTGATCAGCTTTCTTGTTGCTTGGAAACTGAGCACGTTTTTGGCAGTCAGTTGCTTCTCATATTCTCTAAAAGGTTAAGTGCTTTTTCAGGGCTCTGACACACAGTCAATTATTGCAAATTTGCAGGGAGCTGCCTTGACCTGAGATGCCTTGTGTGTAACCATAGCTCAGTCTTTTCTCCTGTGGGTTAATGTGAGTCTGGCTGGACAGCTGCGTCTCGTTTTTCAGTCCACAGTGAACCTTTTAATGCACACACACACAAAGATGTCATGTAGGAAATAGCCACACAAGTCTATCATTTCTGAATAGGACTTGAAACCTACTAGAAGGGGTAATTGCTGAAGATTGTTCTGGTAAAAAGCATGATATATAGGCATAATTAAAAGTTGGCTGAGCCAAAATATTTGATTTTTTTTACTGTCTTTGAGCACCTCAGCTGATTTGCAAACAAGTTCCATCAGTGTTAGCTGACCAGCCAGCTCTGAAATTGAACACTTGAAATTGTGTTTCTGAAAGGGTATTTTCTAAGAGTATTTTTAAAGCACTTAGCTCAAACCGTGACATCCTCATTCCATAGCATTGTTCTCTTCTAAAAAGGCCCCTTTTTGTCACTGCTGGCTGGTTTACACAGGGCTGGGGTCCAATCCAACTGGAAGCCTGGGAGCAGTGCTCTTGAACTGAGCATGTACCCCACAACATTGCATTAACCTGCCTCACTCAGATTTTCTATGGTCAATATCTTTGCTTAATGAAATTTCTAATTCCTTTGCCCAACAGATTTTTTGGGTCGCACTGAAGTTCCAGTAGCAAAAATCAGAACAGAACAAGAAAGCAAAGGCCCCACAACTAAACACTTACTGCTGCATGAAGTTCCGACAGGAGAAGTGTGGGTGCGCTTTGACCTGCAGCTCTTTGATCAGAAAACACTCCTCTAAGAACACTTTTTATAATTCATGAAGGACAACTAAAGCTAAGAGCCTGAACGTGTTTTGGTAAAAGATTCCTTGTCCCACGCTGGTTATTAAGCAAGAATTCCTGCTGCTTTTTTATTTCCTCTTAGTTCCTGGTTGTGCTTAGTTCCTTGCAGTGTTCCACGTTGATGTTGATCTATGCAAACACAAATGTTACTGTAAATACAGTACTATAGCTCAGTGCCTTTTTATTATTTTGGAATATCTTGGGTTTGGATGCCAATGTTTCCATTATCAGGGCCATAAAAAGTATTATATAGAAATGTGGCACCAAGCTGTTTGTATATTTTACCACTTAGTCTGACAGACAGACTGAGGAATGGTTTAAGCTCAGCACTAGAATCATTCCATTTGAAATCTTAAAAGTGATATCCACTGGAATTTTCCCATCTCAGGATGATCGTTTTAACGGTTAAATGCTGAAGAAGCCTTAGCACTGGAGAAGTCTCCAATATATTGTATATTCTTTTAAGAATCAAGCGTAGTTCTTTACTTGACTTTAGTTCTGCACTGGAATCAGTAACTGCTACTTGATTTTTCTTTCTGCTTCAGTTTGATTTATCGTTCTCTGCTGAGACAATGTGGTTGTGAAGAATAGCTAGAAAAAATATTTTAAATACTGTGACCCACAACAATGTGGCAAAATGTTCTTCAGCTCTTTGGGTTTTTTCCTAAGTATAAGTTATTTGTGTATATTTCCTTGGTCTGCAGACCTCCATGTGAATCTTGAAGCTTTGACATTGCCAACATGTATATAGAGAGTAAAATATAAGTTTATGAATTTGTCTACAGATGTTTATTGATGCATAGTGATTTTAAAAAAGTATATTTTATTGTATAGGGGAATGTGAAATAATGAGAAAAACTTATAGGATTTGTTCAAGGAAAGTTTATCACAAGTTTAAAAGGTTGCTCTGGGGAGCTGTCACCCCAATATAAACTGTAAAATGAACTGGTTGAAATGAAAGCAAAAAACTTGCTCTTGGCACCAAATCAGGGATGGTTTAAAAAAAAAAAAAGAAAGTTTGTTTATAAATATTTGTTACATTGCAACCATTCTATTTCCTCCTTCAAACTGCTTTGTTGCAGAAGCACAGCATGCAGTTCTGAGCAGCCTGTGCCCTTGTTTTCCACGGGTGCAGAAATTCCTCCTGAAGTCTGGCAGTTTCCCACCCAGTCGCCATCTGTGCACCCTCCTATTACTGAGGCAACCTCTGTTACATTTAACAGTTTTCTGTGGTTCAGTATTTCTAATCCTCAATAAAACTCAACTCTTGGCAACTTGAGAGATTGTGTCTGTACAACGGGAGTTTGGAGGACAGAGAAAATTCTGTTTCCAGGCTTTGAGCCCAGAGCTGCTGAGCAGCTGCAGCAGCAGGGAGATGGGACTGCACTGGCACAGGAGAGGGTCGGGTTTGAGGGCACTGGCAGCAGCTGCTGCTCAGCACCAGCTCTCCAGAAAGCACCAGATGTTTTGAACACCACTTCCCAACTCCCCTCCCCTACTTATTTCCTGCCTTCTCAAAACACCTATGACCTATGTTAAAATTTGATTTACTGCTTGAACACTGTCTCCAGGAGAGAACACCAGCACTGTCTTTATTGAGCTCAGCACAAGTTAAACCTCCTAAAATAGGAGGTTGGTTTTGGCTTGTAGAGCATTGAAGTGGATCTGGCAAGAAGAGGCCCAGCATCTCAGACATTTCTTTGGCTGCTGGGTAATAACATTTCAGAACTACATGTTTAAGACAGTAAGTTTATTGCAGTTTGCCCAAAGACCTGCCTGGCCTGTTCTCACTTGCTTTGGCAGTGCATGTAACCTATTTTGTAAAGAGTACCTTTGATGGCTGTACTTGCTGCTGTGGTCAGCTGGAGTATAGGTGACATCATTGGCTCTCTCTGTCATTGTGCTCGTTGATGAATTCCATCCTTTAAAGAGAAGGAAAAACTGTTGCCATGCTTCTGTAAAGATAGCTGAGTGGTCAGATTATTTCCTTCTACACAGCACACACTAAGCTTGCCTGGGAACTCTCCAGCTTTTTTTTGACAGGACATCCCCCCTGTGCTGCTACAATGGATTTGAAATGAGGAAAACAAACCTCCCCCTGCCATTGCTACTGTGCCTCAAAAACTTGGCTTAGTATAGATCCAGACTGTGCTCCTGGTGAAAACCAAGTTCAAACACTCTTGGGCTTAAATGCAGTAGGAGTGAGTTAGTAAAACTAGAACATGCTTCCCTAGAGCAGCACATCAGTAACATGCTCTGTTAACCCCCTGCTGATCAAAGTGGGATTCCAAACCTGCTGACACCTTCCAGCAGTCTGTGCAGGTCTTCTGGAAGAATGGATCATACTCTGATGGGTCATAATCATCCAAAAACACATAGCCCTGTGGGAGAACAGGTACTGGGTCAGGTCTCAGAAGCTACTGGTGGTTACAACACTGAGAGCAGCCAGCCTGGGTGGAACAGAGCCAGCACAGCATAACACAGCACCAGAGGTGGTTGAAATCTGCAAATTCTGTGAAAACAGAACTCCCAACTTTCATACACTGCACCTCAGAAAGAAAGTGACTGAACTGTAACAGGAAAATTCCTCCATCCATTTTAATTTATCACAGGCATAAATACATAACAAGTGATTTCATGAAGCATCCAGAAATAAGGATAGGCTAAAATGCTATCCTTAACTAGGACAGTCAAGACAATGGAATTTTTTTTTTATTGGAAAATGTTTTTCCAGAGAAGGAAGCCCTGATTGGCTCAGTTTGTCAGAGCATGGTGCTAATAACTCCAAGGTCATGGGTTTGATCCCAGAATGGGCCACTCACTTAAGAGCTGGGCATGATGATCCTTCTGGGTCCCTTCCAAGTCAAAATATTCTGTGATGTCAGCAAAACAGATATTAAAAATAAAAGAAAAACCAGCCACAGCCTTAGGCAGGTCACTGATCTGCAAGGTACTGGCTCCATGTCTGGCTTTATGAGCTGGCTTTTCCATCTATACACAGGAATAAAGACCTGAACCCACACTTCATGGTCTAGGCTATAGCTCCATCTCATCAACAACGCTGCCACAAGGGAAGGAGAGGGCTGATAGCAGGAAAGAGAGCAAAAGAAAATGGGCAAAAAGAAGGGAGGGAAGGGAAAACACATCCAGAATTAACAACATTAACTAATCCACACAAGTGTCTCAAGTTCTGCAAAATTTATCATATGCTGCCACAGTTAACACAAACATGCAAATAACGTGTCCTGTAAATACGAAGGGCCTCAGCCTGCTTTTCAGACATTCTGACACCACAGAGCAAGGAGAAAAGGTAGAAGCTGATCACTGATGCTGCTGCTCCCCTTCAGGCAGCAGGACACATCCCAGTACATCAGCCATTGCTTCTGGAGGGCACCCAGCAAATTCCCGACCTGGCACAGCAGCTTGCAAGATGGACTGATGCAGACCTAGATATGCAGAGTACCCCCAACACAGCCTAAATCCCAGGACTTCAGCAGCAGGACTGGTTCAGTTCTTTGTCATTCCATGCAGTTTAAATGCATGGGTCTGTCACATCAGGCCTTTGAAAAAGATAGTTTGGTCTCTTTAAAACAACACAGCTCCCATGGTATTTTCATTTCTGGATAAGTAGGTTGTTTACAGTCTCACAACTCCACTGTGCAGTGGTTTCTACTGACAACAACTGCCTGCTCTCATAAAGTATTATTTTTGTGGCAGATTACATAACTGCTTTTATTTTTCTCTTTTATTTCATTCCTGAGATGCAGAAAGATTAGTTGTGGGATCTGATATTCGAGAGTCGTGTCAAATTAAGAGCAAAACGAACAAAACTAACAAGTATTTTCTACAGTGACTGCAATTTGCAATTTTTGTGAATACTGAAACACAAGGAACTACAAAATCCATGAGCTGGGTCCATTACCTGTCTTCAGACTTAACAAAATCGTTTGTATCTCCCTGTTCCCATATATTTAAGCTTGATCAGTAGCATCCAAGGCCACAAAATCATTTCACTCATGCTCTACCAACAGAGTTGCAGTACTGCTGTAGCTAACTCCTGAGACTTGAGAGTGCAGCCCCCATCCTGCTCACTCAGCCTTTGGTTTGAGCTGACAGAGCTCAAGGTTTTCCCACTAAATGGTCCAGCCCACAGAGGCAAACACACCTCAGCAGGGTGTCTCACCATATTCAGACCCCAGCAAGTGTTCACTACACCAAGCAATGCTGCTGTTCATAGCTGCTGGTGAATGTACACAGTTGTAACATTACAGAAGTCCTTGGGAAAAGTAAGTTACAGGCAAGGTATATCTGAAGTCCAGGTTGCTCAGCAAACAGGGAATAACAGCTAAACCCCTGAACTTGTCCACAACCCTCTGTATACTACCCCCTCCATGACAGAAATGTGTTTCTTATTGATACCTTCTTTGTACAGTAGTTTAAATATTGAGAGAATTGTTCTCGTCTTCTTTTCCATACTTCTTTCTCTGACTGGCTGTCCATTTGGTCCTTAATTTTCTGCATAACTGGCTCTGAAATATTCTCAAGATATTTTTTGTAGAGAAGCTCTGTCTTTCTCAGCTCTAGGAAATCAGTGTGCTTCAAATATCTGTCCACCTCCTTAAGTAAGAAATGGAAAATAAAAACCATAGAAACTATTGGTCAATGACAGTAAAGATTCCACATGTAAAGTTTGCAGCTTGGCTGGCCTGACTGCTCACTGTTCCAAGGCACCTATTTTCCAGCCCTTCCTTCTGCTCCTCCTTCTCTCCACTTCCCACCACTTATTTCCAAGCTTGCCCTTTCAAGAGCTCTGGCATTCAGACCCTTAATTTTTGAAGCTGTGGTGCAAATTTGGCAGAAAATTACTCACTTTCTCCCATCAGGTTATTGAGCTGAAGTCACTGCAGAGCAGGGGGCTGCAAGCACCAGACTGTGCAAGACAGGCAGCAGAAGGACCCTCCCTGCAGCACTGGCAATCTGCTGGATCAGGTCAGAGCAGCCCTCCTGCCCTTTGCTCACAGCACCACTGTCACAAATTATCACACCCACAGGACAAATATTAGTGCAAACAGGCAGTTTAAGTCACCTGGAATTCACATTTAGGGTTACTACTTCAGTCCTATCCAGAGTAGACTGAAAAGATCAGAAACTCACAACTCTAAATTAGTTTTTCAAAAATACAAGCAATTAACATTTTCTCATGAATCACTGATTAGGAACTAAAAATACCGACACGCAGGAAAGCACACAGCAAATGAAAAAAGAGCACAGTTCTTACCCTCACAAAATTTTCTCTGTCCAAGATGCACTGAGCAGAAGCAATGATGTCTCGGCTTTGATCAGGTGCTGCCTAACAAAACATGAAAAAAAGCCCACATGAGGTGAAAGCAGGACTTAGAGCAGGAGTTAGATTTACTTTTGAATTCAAAATAATTACCAGTGTTGTAATTAAGGGCACATTATACCACAACCCAGCTGGCAAATCCTTGCAAATTTGCTCTAAACAGTTGGGTTAAGTAGCAACAGAAGAGTGTTGGAAGAACTGCAATGAGAACTGGAATGTACATGCTCAGACCTCCTTGGCTGCTCCTCACCACGACCAAACACCACTTCCTCCTTGTTTCTCACCTGTGCCAAACAGACAAGGAGTACAGGCAACGCAGACCAAATCTATCATTTGGGGATGGAATGCATTTTATGTATAGAATGGAATATTAACCTGCTACTCCCTGTGCTTAATATTGATTTTTAATTCCAATTGACAGTGTAGTTTTCAGTCATGTCTGTCTTGGCCCTGCTGACCAGCTCCACGCTCCTAAAGGTTTATTACAGTAAGATGAGCAGGACATCACACACCAGAGCAGGCAAGGAAGAGACAAGAAGTACTAAAAATTCCACCAAAAACAAATGAGAAAGAGGAAATCTAAATTTCTGGCATGTTTCAAGACCCTTACATCCTACTATTTGAAACAACTGATATGTTGTATTATGCCTGATGAATTTACTTCACCTTGTCACAGATGCTTTTTAAAGTCAGTACTGTAAGAGCAGCACAAAGACATGGCCATCATTCCATCTAAGAACCATCACTGCTGAACAGGAAAAGAGCTCTCCTTCAGGATGACACATATGTGAAAAATCCTTAAGAACCAAAGGAGCTGGGTGTCCTTTGACTGATGGAATTAAGTCCCTTTTCCTGGATAAGGGCAGGCCCAGGGGCAGCCTCATCACAGTACTACTTAAGAGCAGCTGCAAAGAGGAATAGAGGCTCTCACTTCACCAGAAGTCACAGCAAGAGGTACAAGTTGCATTGGCAGATGTTTCATCTCAATGTAAGAAATAAATTTTTACAGTGAGATCAATCATTCACTGAACACCCTCCCCAGGGATGTGGTGGAGTCCCCATCACTGAAGGTTTTCAAGGTGCAATTGCACAGGGAGCTGGATCCCCTCATCTGCTGTCTCTTTCCCACGAAAAGCTGGGTGAGACGATCTTCCAAGGTCCCTTCCAGCCTGGGCTGTTCCATGAGTCTATGATTCTAACTAGTCACAAGCTTGTTTCAGGTTTTATGGGAAACTTTTCCACATACCAAACTGCAAGTAAGCTAATAAAGCTGCCTCAAAAGGATGCAAGTGCTCAATAAAACCCATTGAATCTGTTGCTATTTTAGAATTCTTTGTTCTCCTTCTCCATGACAAACATCTCCCAGATTTTACTTAACTTTGAATATAACAATTTTTCATTCTTCCCTTCATAATTTCTATGTAATTCCTCCACTCACACCTTCACACAACAGACCACCTTTATTCTGTATTAGCCAATCTTTGGCAATATTTTCCTTCCCAAAATGTCTGCTGCAATCAAAATTATTGGTTGTGCCTCTCTGCTGGTGCTGAGGAGAACCCCTGGATAAATGTAAAGAAAGCAAAAGATTTGCATAAAAGGACAACCTGTTTTACAAAGATCAGGTTCTAATTCAAGTTCCACAACCAAGGCACAAACTGGGATGGAATGGTAAGAATTAATACAACTGCAACACCCATTTGTGAGTGTGCTGTGGAGGAACAGACTGAAGCACAAAGCTCCTGCTCAGGGCTCACAGATGACTTCAGGCACGTGCCAGGCATGGAAGTCTGGGAGCACAGACCAGAAAACACTGTCAGGATTTCAGTGGGACTGGGTGGCCAGTTCCAGCACAGGACCCCATTACACACCTGGGTCCCAGGTACAGATACTGCTCTCTGTGTTGCTCACAGCAGAACCTACAGCTGAAGGAATGCTGGGGATCACTCACCCTCCAAGGCTTTTGCCGCTTGGGTCTTCTCACAGGTTTCCCATTTGCAAATCTTTGTAGCCAGGGACCTTCTGAGTTATTCACACTACCCATGGCTGGATTGGTCTGGGAAAAACAATAAAACCATCAAAACCCATAAAAAATATTGTACTAAGAGCAAAATCTAAATTTTCTTACAATTCCTACTGAGCAGTGAAACAGATCTCTAAAGGACTTCTAATGCTGATACCTGCAGCATTTTCCTGCCACAGTAAGTAAAACACAGAGATGAAGTACCAGGTTTACAATCAGATACTGCCTCTGTGGAACCATCTGTCCTCATCTCCACACACCATGGATAGTACATTTTGTTTCAAAGAACAGTGATTGACAAATTATTTGAAAATGCCTGTCAGCTTTGGAAACATTTCAGAGTTATCAAATTTCACCTCCAGACTATTACTTCTTTCCTTTTTCAATCAGATAAAATTCCTTCCAAGTAACTGCCACATCCCACTATGGCTACATTTTATTGGTTTTTAAAGTTAGTTCCACCAGATGAAGCTTATGCTGAAGTGCTAACTCAGCTCCAGTCAGAAGATTCCATCTTCTCTCTTGTATGTGCATCAGGATATCTGGATTGATTTATAACAGAGACAATGGAACCACAGAGGCAAAATGCTCTTTACAGGAACCTCAATTTAAACCCCTGTTTATCTCAGATTCATTGGAGACACACTGCTTCCAGGAAACAATGGATTCACAACATTAGTCTTGTAAAGAATGGAACAAAAGAAAAGCTTATTTCTACAGAGATACTGATCCCAAGTCTTCAGACAGATCTTTCAGTTATTAAAAAAAAATAAAATCTGATATTCAATTATTTTTTGCAATATCTAGTTACAAGAATCTGTCAGGACTCTCAGGTATTCACAGAAGATAACTTTTTTTTGGTAGAAGACAACACTTAAGAGTTTATTCTGTCCAATCCAGCACTTTAGTGACAATATCTGACTCCCAGCTTACCTCTCTGGAGTGCAGATTCAAATTTCTTACCATCAGTTCAAGTAAAGTCTGTAATCTACATCTCTTTTTGTTTCATTTTATATTCCCTTTTCATTTTATATTCTGTACCATGACAAAACATTTGCTGGGATATTCCCCCATTCTCACAGCAATGTTTTCCTTTCTTTTCTGACTGAAAGAGTCAGAAATCAGAGGAGAGCATATGTTGGAAGGGACTTGAGGAAGTCACCTGGTCCTGTCGCCTTTTTCCCAAACTGGAAATGAAACTCAAGATAACTTTAGTAAGGAGGTAATATAAAAGGGGATCTTTATTTGAAGGCTTTCAGAGGCAGCTATGGAAAGATGTCCACACACAAGCCCACCCCCTCCCAGGGGTGAGCACACTTTTATAGGTTTTAGGAAATTAGCATAATTGATAAAAAGCACCAATTAGGAGGACAAGTGGTGATGCAATTCCCCCCAGGGCCAAGCCCCTTCTCTGGAGCCCCCCCTTCAGCACTAGTTGTACTTTGTCCGTGAGAATCTACCACAAAGAGTTGTTCTCAGCCTTGGTTCCCAGGAAGAGCCAAGACAGGATAGGGGCCTTGTACCTCCTGGGGCTTGGAGGTCTGGAATTTGTTTTATCTTTCTGCTTAGGGAAAGGCCCTGGAGAAGTAATGGGAAAACTTGGTACTAATACAGAGTGACAGAGTTACAAATATATCTGTGAAGAATACAGAGAACATATAAAAGAAAGAAAAGGCAAAACCCAAATGACATCAGTCTCAGTGCCAGCTTGAAGAAAAGCAAACGTCACAGAACCAATTTCTGATACAAAATTAACAGGCAAACAGCCAGGGCTGAAAAGATTTGGGTACCTGACATGCTATAGATTTGACATTACAAAAATCCAATCTGCCTTCCTATGAGCAATAAAAAAATCCTCCCTACATGCCCAGGTGCCACAGGCTCCTGTGTCATGCCACCATTTACAGATTTCCTCCAACTCCAAGCAGTCCATTCTCCTCACAAAGACAGACTGAGCACAAAGCAGAGGAGGTGCTTGACCTCCTCAGAGAGTTGGGATGCCAGGGTAGATAAAACAGAACAAACACAGAGAATGTGCCTCTGTAGCAATCTGCCTCCAGGAACCCACAAGTGGTAAAGACTCTAGCAGATTTCCCCCCACAACCAATCTTCACAACTCAAGCTTCCACTGAATCTTAATCCTTCCTTTTTCTGCTTTTTTGGGACTCCTGCTCAGAGAAGCCAACACTCTTCTCTGCAAAGGCAGGGCTCACTGATATGAGACAGCAGCTGTTTTGCAGCTCTTGAAACTACAGATTTAATCACAGGCTTAGACAGAAATAGAGTAAAGGATTTCCAGAATCAGAGTGGATAAAACAAGCATTTAGTCAATCTAGTGGTTGCAGTCTGCAGATCCCATGAGCAGGTTGGCTGTCCTGTATCAGGACATTTGTTTGTGCCAGATCCCTGGAAGTGTCCAAAGCCAGGCTGGATGGGGCTTGGAGAAGCCTGGTCTAGGGGAAGGTGTCCCTGCCCATGGCAGGGAGTTGGAACTAGATGATCTTTAGGGTCCTTTCCAACCCAAACCATTCTGCGATGATTAAACCTGAGAATAACCTAAAAATCTTTGCTAGATAAACAAGCATCCTTCTGTGCTGTCAGCAGTGCAGCTCTGTATCAGTAAGTTTCAAAGCCAGGTTTCTCTTCTCAGTAAAACGAGGTTCTTCCCCCAACACCCATCTGCTAAAATTTACACTCTCTGTGCCCAAACACGAGGCTTTGCAGCAGTTTGAGGAAACACATTTTAATCACTCTGTGACAAATATAAGCACCCTCTATATGCCTCAATCCTCTCAAAACCCCGTTCAGGCACACAGGCTCACGAGTCACTGCACGGATGTCCCTCTGCACAAGCACAGCTTTTACTGACGCCTTGGTCCCCTCGCATTGCCGCAGGTGAACGGAGGGAGAACGAGTCTCTAGTGCGAGCAGGGCAGCTCTGCGAACAGAGCCTTTTACACTGTGAATGCTGAGCTAACACGTAACGCGGGTAGGCCCGGAGGGTCCTGGCCTGGCCCTGCACTTGGGACGCAGCGATGAGACAAAGCCCGGCGAAAGGGAAAGGCTGAGACCCCTGGGCCCGGCTCGCCCCGCACCCTGCCCTGCCCTGAGGCGGGTCCCGCAGGCCCCAGGGAAGAGCAGGTGGCCAGCAAAGACCCACACCTACCACCCCCGTGCCGGGGTCCAGCACTGGGGCGGTGAACACAGCCCCAGAACCCCCAGGAGCCGCGGCATAGCGCTACAAGAAAAGCCAAAGGCGCGCCGCACGGCCCCGCCCCGCTGAGGGGAAAATGGCGGCGCGGCGCGCCTTGGTCGCACCTCACATCAGTCGCACCGCCCCTCCGTGACCGAAAAAAAAAACCAGTCCATCACCCACAGCCTCTCAGGTTGAGGATACGCCGCCCGTGGGAACAGGGACCCGGCTACCGGTGGGGACAGGGCACAGAAACCGGTGGGGACAACGCCGCGGCAGTCCTGATCTGGCACCGAAGACAGACGGGGCGGAGGCACGGCCGGATCCCTCCGCGCCCGGCCGCGCAGCGTCCCGCACTGCCATGGCAACCCCAACGCGCGCGCTCCCGCCGGCAAGGCTTCCCACCAATCAAAGAGGGGAGCGCGCGGTGAGCGAGCCAATCAGGAGCGAGGAAGGCTCCACCGATCCGAGCCGAGTCGAGCCGAACGGGGCCGAGCCGAACGGGGCCGAGCCGAACGGAGCCGGCGAAGTCGGGCTCCCTGATTTATTATTCAAAGTTCATTAAATCGTATTACGAGATTTCACACATTCGCCCGCAGTGCTGACCATGACACCAAATTTGAAACTGCCATCAGCCAGATACCATCAGATGAGAGAAATGTCAGGGCTTTTCCCCCAGCAGTGCTGCAGTGACACAGAGATCTCACAATAACTGTGTGCCACGTAAACCGGGTGTTTCCTGGAGCCCCTTATACTTTATTTTTTAAAATGCATTATTATGATTGATTTGTCAGCACCCCAGGCAAAACGAGACCCTTGTGCCCAGCCGCCTGCCACTGCCCTGGAATGGGATCCCCTGCACAGCCCAGGGTGCGTCCATTAACCTGGCCAGGGACTTGTGACAGCAGCTGTCAGAGCCAAACCCCTTATGCCACTCTGGAAAGAAAGACCCCCATCCTCCTGGATCCCCCACACTCTTAGTCTCTATGCCCTTAATTTTGTCATTTTTATCAACTACCATTGTCTGCCAGCATCCTTGAAGGACTCAGGCTGAGCAATTCAAGGAGTAACACACTTTATTAATAAATACACTGATCACAGAAGACTGTCACAGAGTGGGGGCAGAGATTGTCACTGACAGCGCACTGACTGCAAGAACAAGTTTGGAGGGATACACAGGCTCTGATCACCAGTGAAAGTCTGAGAAAATCAACGTGTACAGAGTAGGGATCCTACCCAACAGGTGTGTCCACGGGGGAAAAGCCAAGATCAGCCCATCGAGCCATCCCAGAAGTTATGTGGAGCCTTTCCTAACTTGTCCCCCTCTTAACTCACTGTTAGACTATTTCTTTACACTTAGGTGAAGCTTGAGTGACTCTAGTCAAACATACTTTTGTTCTTGATTGGTGCAAAATTCCCCCACTTTGCTCTCAAAGACATAGTTAACAAAACAGAGAGTGTGTGCTCAGGGAGGGGTGGTCACACTTTGGAGCTGGGTAACTTTGGGATGGAGGCGTGTCACATCTTTACAATGAGAGTACAAAGAGTGGGATTCATCTGAGGAGAGCGATTTCCCCACAGCTGCTGACTGAGGAACAGGACATCTCCATCCTGTGCCTGGCAGCTCCTGTGTGGTTTGTCACCTACGAGGTACCACCGAGTTCCCATTCCTGCAGGGATCACAACAGAGCCTGGTCATGGGTCTCCATCCTGCTCCACCTTCCATTTCATCTCTCCTTAGCATCTGCTTCAGCCTGCAGGGGGAACTACCATGGAATGAATTCTGTGCTTGCCAACTGCATTCCCTCCTGGAAACAGCAACTGCATTTTACCCTAAAATTTCCTAATGTTACAGCTTCTGTTGGAATATGACTATAATTTTAGCCTCAAGATTCTCCCCTAAATGTATCTAATTTCCCCCCATTTTCCCACTTAATCAACCCCATGACTATAGCACTCAAGCTTCCCAATATCCAAATGGAGTTCAAGAGGATTTCAAGCATTTGTATTGCATGGATTATCTGATGTTTGTAGGGGTGGCCAACAGGCTAACTGCCTCATAATAACACAAACTTTAACAAATAATACCTTTATCAAGACAAAAAGCAAAAGGGTTAATATCAATACAGCAAATTCCTGTAGCAGTTGGTGATCATCTGAAGAGGGTATCCCACCATCACTGTTCTGCATCTTTCTTGACTGGTTCCAAAATGTGATGTATTTTCTCCACATTGTGATGGACAAGGACCAGAGCCCTTGGTCCATTTTCTTGAGCTTGTTTCAACAATTGTTTTAAGTCTTCATTTTGTAGCAGTTTCCTGCTCAAGGTGAGATTCATTCAGTAGGGGTGGGCAGACAGGTCTTGAACCAGCATTTAGTTAAACTGTAACAATTGGTAAGATGTGACAGGCGCTGAGTAAATAAAACCACAAACATTTGAGTGATTATTTGTAGCTTCACTAACATTATCTATGAGTTACCATGGAATCACAAAGACTTCTCATGCTCTGTCACCAATATGTACAATTGAAAACATTTTCAGGCATTTCACTGGGATGTGTCTCAAAATAACAAACACTTTTTGTTCAGTGTCAAGACAAATGTCTTAAGCTTTGAGATTGCTACTTTCACAAATGACTCTTGTTGTTCTTGCACAATGACATCAATGTCTTGCCATTTTTTCCATCCTTTTGCAACCATAGTCTCTGCTCCAGGGGATAGAGTATAGTCCCACTGTGACTGAACCCTCACACAGATTCGATTAAGTGTTAAGGTTCGAATCTTCTGAACCTTCAGAGTCAAAATCCCTATTTCAATTTAGAAGGACAGGCCCCTCCTGGATTCCCCCTGCTCCTAGTCAGTATGTTATCAGTTTTGTCAAGTATGCTACCTGTGCCAGAGGTACTCACAGGGACTCACACTAACAGTTTATGGAATAACACAGTTTATAAATATAACAGAGAATTGTGACATGTTGAGGTTTGAGGATTGCCAGTGATAGTATCTCACTGCAAAAATGTATTCAAAGCAACACACAGATAATCCCTAACAAAAGCTGTCTCGAGATAATCAATCAATATGTGGAGAACAGAGTTCTTACCCAACAGATGTGCCTGCAGGGCCTGCAGGGAAGAAGATGGGTTCAGGCCCATGACTGACCCCAGAAGTTACAATGGGGCCTTTCCCAACTTCTCCCATTTCTTTACATTTTGGTGGAGCTTGAGTGGTTCCAGTCATACAGCAAGGGGTGGTTGTACCTTGAGGGGGGTAACTTTGGGATAGAAACGTGTTACAGCATTTCATCTCAGCTAACCTTGGGATGGGGCTGTGCTCAGTGTTACACCTGAGGAGAGTAATTACACAGCAGCAAGATGTCTTCTCCTATGTCCCTTAGTTTGTTGGAAATGATGCAACTTTTCTTTCTTTCTTTTTTTTTTTTTTTTTAATTTAATGTAACTTTAGTCACAGGTTTATTTTGTTTTGTTCACCTTTTCCCAGGGGAAGGGGAATTGGAAGTTTCTTTTCAAAAGACTCTGTTCACCAGATGAAGGCCTGATGAAGCCTTAAAATCTACAGACTTGAGAGTAGCCAGAAGATACAGAGGAGATAAATGAGCATCAATGAACATGACCCCCTGGGGCAGTTGGAGACACCTGGTCTGGGAAAAGATTGATAAAAGAACCAAAGAAAGAGGTCCTAATCAACGTCCAAGGTGAAGGAATCAATAACCAACAGGATATCAAACATTAAGAATTGTGTAATTTAAGATCAATGAACATTAATTTCTTTGGGGTTCGTATGTATAAATATGTGAGAAGTCTAGTAGAGAACCATGTGTGATGGAATGATTTTCACTGTACAACCCAGGCATGTGTGAATAAAATAATTTCTACTGCACATCCTGGCCAAAATAACATCCTGGCCAGAAAAAAATAATGCCTCAATTCTCCAACACTGAAAAGATGTTGTTGGAGGGTTTCTGTTTTCCCCACAGTTTCAGTGATAATGTGGCCATAGCTTTAGCCTCAAGATACTTCTCAGTTTTCTTTAATTTCCCCCCAGTCATTTTCCCACACTGTGCTAGAACTGATTATTTATTTAAAAAGAAAATAATTTTTGGTTTGGGTCAAGCCCAGCCCAGAAAAAAACCCCTCAGGTCCCTCCTTCTGCTCTGATCTAATGGTTGTAGCAAGTTTTATCTCATTTCTTAGTGTTTTCACTGTGGACTGTTTCCTCAGCAAGATGAAAATTTAATGGCAGCAGAAAAAAATCAGAAATATTTACTATAAAAATGTAACTGGACTTTTATGGCCTTTCTGGAAAAGAGGACCAGTTTCCTGCTGATCAATTCTTGTACCTTTCTTGTTGTTGTTGCTGTTATTTTGCTTATCTGAGGCCTTACATTTCTTCTCCTGAATTTCACATGGAGGAAATATGAATGTTTTCCAATGTTCACATGTTTTCCAATATGAAAGGGAGGACGAATTATACATCTATCTTTTTACAGAACAGAATGAAAATGAACCAACTTCAGGCTTTGCTGAGTGACAGCCTTGCCAGCACAAAAAGCATGTGGAAAATGCATTTATCACGGTATAAAGACAAGTCTCTGCATCGACCTTTGGCTTTAATGTGAGAGATCAAGAGCTTCCTGGGAAGTGACAGCAGAGGTGGGAACTCTGTGAAATCAGAGCACAAAGCAGAAATAATGGCAGGGAGCAGAGCACTCTACTAAATCCACTTGTTCTCTCAGCCTCTGAGCCCAGTGCTGGGATACAGCTCAGCTGACTTGCAAGGTGGTTGCTAATTTCACATCTTTGATTTTTTGGAACTAAGATGCCATTTAAGTGGCATTTTGAAGGAGTCCTTTTTAACCAATTTGTGCTCAGTGATCCTGACAGTAAAGCAGATGGATGTAGGTCCTTTCTCTGGCCCTGAGACCTGCTGGAATGGAGTGTCCTGTGCCCATGCTATAACCCCAAAGCTGTGGCTGAACTGGGATGCTGGTTGGGAACATAGATCTAGATTCAATACCAGGGGTTGATACAGAAATATCTTCTGCCTAATTCTGGAGAAACAATGTAGTGAAACCACCTGTAGCTTCCAAGTTACTATCACTGATATGGCACATGAAACAAACCCTTTCTTCTATCCAATGACAGCCCTGTCTGTGCCCAGAGTCACAGAACCACAGAATCATTGCTGGAAAAGACCTAAAGATCATCAAGTCCAGCCATTACCCCAGTACTGCCAAGCCCACCACTAAACCATGTCTGTCAGTGCCACATTTACAGGTCTTTTAAGTACCTCCAGGGATGGTGACCCTGGGCAGTCTGTTCCAGTGCTTCACAGCCCTTTTGGTGAAGAAATTGTTCCTAAAATCCAATCTGAACCTCCACTTATGCAACTTGAGGTCATCTCAGCTTGTTCTATCACTTGTAACTTGAGAGAAGAGCTCAACCCCCACCAGGCTTCACCCTCCTGTCAGCTGTACAGAGAGAGGATGGTCTCCCCCTGAGTCTCCTGGGCTGAGCCCCTTTCCCAGCTCCCTCAGCTGCTCGTCATCAAACCTGTGCTCCAGACCCTTCCCCAGCTCCGTTCCCTTCCTCCAGCCCCTCAATGTCCTTCCTGAACTGAGGGGCCAGAACTGCACACAGCCCTGGAGGTGACCTCAGCCATGCCCAGCACAGGGGACAGTCACTGCCCTGGCCCTGCTGCCACACCATGGCTGGCACAGCCCAGGTGCCTTTGGCCTTCTTGCCCACCTGGGCACAGCTGGCTCAGGTTCAGCCGCTGTCCCCAGCTCCCCCAGGTCCTTCTTCACTGGACACCTTTCCAGCCACTCTGCCCCAGCCTGTGGCACTGCAGGGGTTGTTGTGACCCAAGTGCAGGACCCAGCACTTGGCTTTGCTGAACCTCAAGCAATTTACCCCAGCCCCATGGATCCAGCCTGTCCAGATCCCTCTGCAGAGCCTTCCCTCTCTCCAGCAGATCAACACTCAAACTGGTGCTGTCTGGGAACCTACTGAGGGTGGACTCGGTCCCCTCATCCAAACCATAAATAAAGACATTAAACAGAGCTGGCTCCAGTGTGGAGCCTTGGGAAATGAGATTTATTAAATCTAACAACAAGGCCTTCCCTTATAAGCTAACTTCAGATTAGCTCTATCTTGTTATTTTCAGCAGGCTACACACAGAGCTGGAGCAGGTCCAAAAGGCACCACTGTCTGACTGGCTGGCTCAGTAATACAATCAGGAGCCATATCATATTTGATCTGAGAATTTTTTTTTTTTTCTGCTATGGAAGGAAGGAAGAAAGCGTAAAGCTGAAAGATTGCAAAAAACGCCAGCACTTTCAAAATCCTGTAACAATATCCACTCATTATTTGCTCTTGCAAACAGTAACATTGTTCAAAACCAGCCACTGTTCCTAGCAAAGACTAATGCTAAGTTTTTCCAGGGCTAGATTTGCAGTAGTTTTTCTTTGGAGTTTACTCTTGCTGTCCTGGATGATTTCTTTGTGGAAAAAAAAAAAAAGAAAAGTAACTTTTCTTTGCATGTTACAAGATATTTCCAAAAATTATTTAAAGTGCTGCTCAGTACTTATTCTTTAAAGCAGATAATACCTTACAAATATAGGTATTTTAAATTTTCAGATAGAAACAGCACTGTCGTCATTTGAGTGCAGTACAGTGTGAGGGGGATTTGAACTTGAAAAAAAGCATCTCCATTACAGCAATTCTGTATATGAAGTTTATAATAATTGATTTAAATTTTTATTTATTTATGTCCCTGTGTTATTATAGCACACTATTTTAGAGAGAAAGGTTGCTGAATCAACAGAAAACTTGGACTTCATCAACCTTAAGAATGCTCATTAGGAAGTAAAGAAGTTTGAAACTTTAAACAAGAAACTGCTGCTTTACAACATTCCAGCTGCTGAGCTCCCTTCTGTTTTTTCTAGAACAATTGTGGGCTTGCTGCTCATAAAAAGACTACCCTATGCATCTGCCCTCTAAGTTTCCTAACTGAATTGAAAGTGATGTCTTCAATATTTGGTTTAAGATGCTCTGCTTTATCTTTCTAATGCTGCATTTTAGCCTGCTTCTAGATAACATAGTTACTAATCTCACTACACAAAGTTCTCTAATGGCATTACAGCTACGCAGGGGCCACAGACCCAAGGGACAAAGGAAATTGCTACATTAACACATTTTAAGACTGCCCTGTACATCCTTGAATAATAAAACATATTTTCATCATGTGAATTTGCATTGTCAATGACTGTAATATAAAGTTATTTTAAACTGCAGTGGATTGCAAAGTTCTCCGGGGACAGTGGAGGAGGGACAATGCCAGCAGCGGCACTGAACCAGCCTGTGTGTACTACAGACCAGGCTTCATGATCTTTTCATCTTCAGAAACACATCAATTATTAGCTCTTCAAGTCACGTGAGAACAAAAGAATTTTTAGCTGTACTTGATTCTAAATTTGCTCAAAGAGGAATTTAAAAGCCTGAATCAAAAAAACTCATTATTACAGGGGAAAAAAAATCCACAAAAAAAATCCCACACATATGAGTTACCATTTTAAAATAGTCTGAAGTGTCAGTTTTATTCCCTGACAGCTCAAACACTCAAGAGCTGGTGATCAGAATACCGAGAAAGGCATGATCTGATCCTTCTGCAAAGCTCAAGGAGATATCATCAGACTTTTAGAGTAGTATTGATTCTGGTTCCAAACCATCAGGTAGAAACACACAGGGTGTAAGGACGTGAACCAGCGAGCTCCCTGGGAGCAGAGCCCAGGGCAGCCTCCCCAGCGCGTTCAGGGCATCCGGGCTGGCACAGCTCCCACACCCGCAGTGCCGGTGGAGCAAATCGAGTGTGAGACACTGAGAATTCTGAAACGGCAGCACTTGCACAGCCGGAGCACACCCCATCACACACACTGGCACAGCCACGGGCAGCAGGCCGAGCTTCCCCGTGTGCTGGGGCAGCGGCCGATCTCTGCCGCAAGGCCAAGCGGGAAAAGATTCCTGTGCCAAGCCATGGAATAATCCAGGTCGTTCGCAGAAACAACGGGGAGCTGTGCTAATACTTCTGACTCCTCATATCTGTGGCTCCAAAGTAGAACAACCTCGCCTGTTCCTCGCCTTGGCCTGCAGGGGAGTAGCTGAATGCCAGGAGGAGCTGGGATCGGACTCTGCTCCCGAGGACAGGCCGGGTTTGTTCCGGGGCACAGATTGTCCCTCCTTCCTTACAGGAAAAAGGTGAGCTCGGGGGCCACAGAGCTTCTTAAAATTGTTGTTTTCAGCCACTGCTGGCAGATCTGAGAGCTTGAAATGGTTGGAAACTTGTATCACAGTTTCTGCGGTTTTCTGTGCATTTGAGAGTAATGTAAATATTCAGATCCTCTTGTTTTTTTGGTTTTGTTTTGTTTTTGGGAGGGTTTTAAACATTTTTGTGAGCCTGCTTCTAGCAAAAAAGACAATAATTTATAAAAAAGCAGGTTAATGAACTCTGATGAAAGAGAGACAAAAGCTTCTTTCATATCTTATTTTAACTGACTAAATTTGTACCCAATTAAGACAGCAGAAACAATTGTTATGAGGTGGCATCAGGTGGGCTTTCCATTGAATTTTTTTGCTGATACAGGCAAATTTTGTGGGACTGGATTAAATGGTTAATAACAATGACCAGACAGCCAGCCTCAGAAACACAAGCCTTTAAATTGCATTTTATACAAATGGAAGTGCTTATTCACCATAAAATAGCCATAGAGCACCACCCTGTGGGGATTGACATCCCTGGGGTTTCAAGCTGTTTATCATTCTGCATTCGCAGTCTTACCACAAGTAATTAGGCATACACTTAGCTTTTCCTGTGCAGAAATCAGTGATTTCTACAGAGGGCGGGTGGTCTGTCACACAGTGCTGGTTACTTGAAGAGGCCCTGGCCTGCAGCCCGTGCTGCACTCAGTGCAGTACCAGCTCTCAGCAAGTAACACAGGCTGTTCCCGTTGTGATTGCCTCTCCTTCTCATCTCCTTCCACCCAGGACCCAGGGAGCAGAGTGAAGACTGTTCCTCATTTGATTTTACCAGGCAGGAGAAAAGGCTTGACAGCTCAGCCCACCTCAACATCTGCTGGTGCCAAAAGGATCCCAGGAATAGCATCTGAGGAGGTACCTGAAAGACTCCTGCAGCAGTGAGAGCCTGCACCACAGCAAATCAGGCACACAGCAATCACCTCCAGAAGCAAGGGAAATAAATAGGAATTTTTAAAGCCATTTGTTACCTTTCATTACTGAGATTTTTCCACTGCACATGCCTGCATTTATGCAACGTTTTTTCAGTTTGTTTGGTCTGGCTTGTTTTTTGTTTTCTTTTAGAGAAAATGTTTGCAGCCTATTTTGATTGCCCAGGAGGCCCAGAAAATCTCTATATGAAAGAAGTGATGAAACCAAATCCAGGAGAAGGAGAAGTTCTTGTGAAGGTCTCTGCCAGTGCTCTGAATAGAGCCGATTTACTCCAGGTACGTGTAGATTAAGCAGATTTATGCACCTAAAAACAACACATTTTTCAAGCCTCTCTGTGAAGTCCTGACAGATCTGATGAGCTAAAAGAGTTTGAACCTGGTGAGCATTTGGACTGGAAAGTTCATAGGGCTGAAAGAAGAGATGTTTGTTGATTCAGCAGATAAATGTTTTTATCTGAGATAGTGCAGTGCTGGGCTGGCATGGAACGGCAGCTGCCTTTCAACAAAAACATGTAAAACCAAAGCTCTGGTCTCTCTAGATCTTAGACCCTTTTCTGGGCATTTGAGATGAAAAGGAAATGTTCCAATGGCACAGTTCCAGTGGGAGAAAATTTATTCAAATTCACATTCAAATTATTAGTTTGAGCTGCAAGCCGTGCTCTGCAAATAGCGTCCATAGTATCTCCAGAGCACGGATTAGCCTGGAGGGAGGGAACTCACAAATATTTCAATTCATACTTATTTTAAGAATAAGACTTAGGAAGAATAACACTTAGGAAGCAAAAGTGTTTCCAGAGGCTAGAAGATCCTCAAATTACTGCAACATATGCACAGGGCAAAATCAGGATTAAACAAATAGGAATTTAGGCTGGAGATATGTGAATGAAATATTGCAGGTCATTACACTCATTGATGGTTTTTCCTTCATTGCATTTTTTTTTTAAATTTTTTAAATTTTTATTTTAGAGGAGAGGGAAGTACCCTCCCCCCAAAGGAGCAAGTGACATTTTAGGCCTGGAAGCAGCTGGGAGCGTGGCTGGGCTGGGTCCCGGCTGCTCGGGCCGGTGGAAGATCGGTGACGCAGTGATGGCTCTGCTCCCCGGGGGAGGCCAGGCACAGTACGTGACAGTGCCCGAAGGCCTCCTGATGCTGATTCCCAAAGATATGACTTTTATCCAGGCTGCAGCCATTCCTGAAGCCTGGCTAACAGCATTTCAGCTGCTCCACTTTGTAGGTGAGAGGTGCATTTGTCCATTTATCCCGCCAAAACAACTCGTCTTCATTTCTGTTACAAAATCCTTTCCTTGTTGCCTCTATTTGAATGTTGCTTCCCTTCAAAGAACATTTTCTCTGTCACTTTGTTCTTGTGGATCAGAATCCATTATGCCAGACACAAATCCCTGAATCCTGACCACCTCTCCTCAGTGCCAACCCACCCTGTTGATTACATATTTACAAGAAAGGATATGCAAAGATGGCCAATTCCTCTTCACCTGTATTTCTCAGTTTGAATCACTGAATTGTTTGGGTTGAAAAGGAACTAGGTGATCTAGTTCCTTGCCATGGACAAGGACACCTTCCATTAAGCCTAAACCCTGAAATTATTCCTACCTTTTCCAGGCACCTGAAAACACATATTACTTCTAAGGATCTGGCTTGCATGACCATACAAAGAACTTTATCACTAATTGCTTGTGAATCAGCAGTAGGCAACATCTTGTACCTTTGTTTAACAGAGATTTTATTTATAAATATTATTTGTATTATTTGTAAATAATATTTCTGTTATAAAGTAAAATCCACTCTAAGCTGACTTAAAATAGACAGAACCCACACTCTTCATTTAAAAAATAAGCTGACAAGGTAATAAACAGCAGCACTTGCCAAGGTTTTCGTCCAGTGAGAAATATCCTACACTTTTCAGCAGTAGCATCTAAAAGATACAATAAGGAACAAAAGTTCCAAACATAACTTCCCTGCAGACTTGCTTCAAGCAGTGTTGCTTCTGGGGGATCAGTGGGAGGCTACTTGGTGCCTCACTTTCAGGAGCAATTGGTGAAACACAAATTAATGCAATCAATAGATTGTAAAATGATTGGTAGGATTGGTCTTTAATGTTACCCAGCATTTCTGGTATTTCTCCATTGCTGAGTGCCTGATTTCTCAGTATGAACATCCTCCAAGTGTGTTTTCTACTGATGGTATAAAAAGGCTGTGACTGCCCTCACTTAAGCATCTCGGTCACAGATGCCCAGAACTGCACATGGCCAAGACAAAGTCCTTCCACTGAGGCTGGGAAAATGACATCCTGTCAGCACACTGCAACCTCTGCTGCTTCTGGATTTCTCTCTTTTATGAAGGCTATGAAGATGTCCAATTGTCCAAAGTCTAGTCATGGGCATCTCTTTCAACCTCCTCTTCACTGTCTTCCATATTGTTCATATTTTAATCCAAAGGTGATGCCCAAAGGGTGACCACTTTCCTTCTGCCCTCCTCCAGGTAAAGTACAGGAGGGTGAGAAAGTGTTGATCCACGCTGGAGCCAGCGGGGTTGGCATGGCAGCCATTCAGCTGGTGAGGCTGGCAAAGGCCATTCCCATTGTGACAGCAGGAACTCAGGAGAAACTGGAAGCAACAGCAAATGCTGGAGCAGCTGCAGGGTTCAACTACAAGAATGAAGACTTCAGTGAAAAGGTCTTGGAGTTCACCCAAGGTAAAAACCTCTCTGTGAAAGTGGGAATGAACCTCCCAACATGTGGACACATTTTCAGCTGTCACCTGGTGAGGGAGCAGACAGTAGTGACCCTGGAAGCACAACCTGATATCCTGCTCAGCCCAGAACGGCCTTTTCCTTAGTTTAATTGTGCTGTTTTCTGCCTGGGCTCTCTGGCTGTGTTCATTTGTGGCATAAATATTGTGCCATGTTATTGCTGCCTCCCCGAGGAACTGTGGGACCAAATCCCTGCATTTTGGTGTTTGAATCATCATAGAAGCACAGCATGGCCTGGGTTGGAAAGGGCTTTAAAGATCATCCCGTTCCAACCCCCTGCCATGGGCAGGGACACCCCAGCTTGCTCTGAGCTCCATCCAACCTGCCTTGAACATTTCCAAGGGTGGGGCACCTACAGCTTCTCTGGGCAACCTGTGCCAGTGCCACTTTGTTCTTAAACTGTTAGAAAAATGTAGCTTTTCTAAGCATTTGGGGTGGTTTATGCCTGAGTTTGCTTATGGGTAAGTGATGGTTCTTTTTTTGTGCCCGATTCTGTAATTCCTTACAAATTACTGTGTCAATTCCTAATTTGAGTAGAAAGATTTAAATAAGAATTGTAGGGCCAATTCTGTACCTATAAATAACAAGGTTTTAGTCTTGCTTGAAATTATCCTACCCTTAATGAAGCTTCATTGCTAAAATCTTTTCTGTTTCTACTTGAGGTTCTGGAGTAGATATTATTTTAGATTGTGTTGGGGCCTCATACTGGGAGAAGAATCTCAACTGTCTGAGCACCGATGGCCGGTGGATTATATATGGACTGCTGAGTGGAGGTCAAGTCCATGGGGATTTGCTGGCAAGGCTGATTTCCAAAAGAGCCAGCATCCACACGAGCCTGTTACGGTCCCGAGACAAGGAGGCAAGTAGTGGCTATCAGAAGTTTGATCTTAAAATTTATTATAGTTTTGAGAGCTTTCTTTTAAAACCAGTGTTAAACACATTCTTGTCAAAAAAGCCCCACTTTGAACTGTTAATACATTCTTTGGAAAATGTCACAAAATTAAGTTCTAATTTTTTTTTCTATTTTTATCAAATTCCTCCCTGAATGAGAGGAATGACACCCAGGACTTCTTAATGGGCTTCATGGATACCATAAGTTAGATATTTGGCCCTAGAAGAAATAAAACTCCAGTGACTGGGCAACTTGATCAAGTCTGAGGAGGGAAAAATAAAAATCTCTATTAGGTCACTTCAAAGTAGAAACCAAGGCCATTTGGATGCTGAGTTACCAAAGAAAACTCATTTTAAGTGGAATATTCTCACCAAAAGACCCGCAGTGCAGAGCCCTAAGGTGGATTCTGTGCGTGGATTAAGACAGAACATTTACAAGACCTTTATCAGTTTGATTGAAATGGTTCTGCACGGAGCTCACACCACTTGCCTTGGGGAATTTCATTCAATTAAGATGTAACAAATCTAAAAGCTTTCTTCTTGTTTGTAATTTACACCTGTCAGGTGTTTTTATCTCCGTCTCACCGGGAGAATGTCAGAAGGGGTCTCGTTGAGGGCCGTGTACATTTTGCACGCCGTGCTCGGAGACCCCTCACTCGGGGAGCGGAGCGCTGGCAATAACCTGGCGGGTGTTTCTCCGCAGTACAAGGAGCGGCTGCTGGGAGCCTTCACAGAGGAGGTGCTGCCCCATTTTTCCGGGGGGGCTTCCCCGCGTCTGCAGCCCCTCGTGGACAGCGTTTACCCCCTGCACGCCATCGCTGAGGCACACAGAGCCATGGAAGAAAACAAGAACATCGGCAAAATCGTCATCGAAATTCCCGTTTGCTTCAAGAAAGGGCCGCAGCAGTAGCTCCTGTGGGACAGTCACTGCGGGGGCTGCACTGCGGCCGTCCTGCCGCTTCTGCTCCGCACCGGGACCGATTCACGTGGGTGGCGAGGAGGGGGAAAGGATAAGGAGGAAGCGTTTATTAAAGAGGTTCATGTGGCAATTCTGACACCTCGGAGCGAACGTGAGGGGCCGGGGCCGGGGCTGAGGGGCGGGGACGGGCCGGAGGGGCGGGACGGAAAGAAAGGGCGGGCCCAGAATCGGGTCACGTGAGGAGGGCTGGCCGGGCTCCCGCGCGGCCGCTTCCCGCGCGGTGCCCGCCGGGACAGATCCGGTTCCGTGAAGGGAGCGCGCGGTGCCCGCCGGGATAGATCCGGGTGTGCCGCCCGCCGCTCCCGGTCCGCGCCGCTGGCCCCGCTCCGGGCTCGGTTCCCGTCGCTCTCTCCGCCGCTGTCTCCGCCCCAGCCTCCTTCCCCGCCGGTGTTTCTCCCCCAGGCCGCGGCCCTCACTCACCGCCCGCCGTCATGGCGATGCAAGCAGCCAAACGAGCCAACGTGAGTGCTGCCCCGTCCCGTCCCATCCCGTCCCTGCCGGGCTGGGCTCCGGCTTCGTCCCGCTCCCGGCGCCCCGCTGCTCTGAGGGAGCGCGGCCGGGGGTGGGACTGGGTGATATTTAAGGCCCTTTCCACCCCAGCCATTCCGTGGCTCGGTGATTCCGTGGTTTTGCCCCTCGGCTGCTGGGTTTAAGGTTTGAGTACGGGCCTTACACACCGCCTGTCCTTCCCCCGCCAGATCCGGCTCCCTCCGGAGGTCAACAGGATCCTGTACATCAGGAACCTGCCGTACAAAATCACGGCCGAGGAGATGTACGACATTTTTGGGAAGTACGGGCCCATCCGGCAGATCAGAGTGTGAGTATTTCCAGTTTCTTCCGAACGTGAAGGGTTTTGCGTCCTCCAGTGGCAGCTGCGTTTCACAGCTCGGAAGGTTCGGTGCCCTGGAGCCCCAAGTCCCAGATGGGGACGTGATGATGCTCTTAACACGTGAATTTGTTAGAAAATTCTTCTGCTGGGAGGTGCAGAGAATGAGCTTCAATTTTAAATGAACCCTGGGAAGTTGATAAAATATGACAGACTTGTGTGCTTAGGTAAGTTTCAAATACAACTGAAGTTTTACCTTGACTTGGGGTGAAAACAGGAAAGGCAGAAGCTGAGCACTAACAGTTTTCCTGTTTTATGATTATCTGCTAACCACTGGGAAAACAGGGATGTTGCTGTTGCTGGATCTGTTCACTAGAAACACACACCAGCAGCAAGCCCTGCGTGGCAGAGCCAGGATGTCCTCGGGCCATAGCGTGTCTGGGTAGTGGAGATGTGACTGTGCCTTTGGCTCTGAAATGTGTTCTGGAGGTTGTGCAAGTCTGCAGAAACTCTGATGTTCTTCTCCTGGCTAGTTCAAATGCTGAGGACCTGAGCTGTGATCATCATAGGAGAGTTTGTGTTGGAAGGGACCTTGAAGACCATTTTATTCCAACCCCCTGCAGTGGGCAGGGATACCTTCCATGTGACCAGGTGCTCTGAGCCCCATCCAACCTGGCCTTGAACACTCCAAGGGATGGAGCATCCACAGCTTCCCTGGGTGACTTGTTTGATTGATTGTTGTGTAGAGTAAAGTGAGTTTTACAGAAAGCAAAGGACACCAAGGGGACACGTGCTGCTGGTGCCATGCTGGGATGGGACACCAGACAGACCCTTCTTGAGCAAGGAGGGGCAGTGGATGTGACTGGAGAAGTGGCTGAGAGAACAAGGGCAGTGTAAACACTACCTGGCTAAATAGGTGGAATTCTTTTGCTAATGAGCATAAAGGAGAGCCAGTACTTAAGTTTTCTGAAAACATGTGGGCTGGAGCAGCATAATAGTGGAACACAATTAGGACGTATTAGGGGCTTTCCATTGGGGTGATGCACTGGTGTGCACCCAGCAGTTTGTTCAGAACTACTGATTGATGTAATTTCCCCCAGAAATCCCGACATTCTCAGTGCCAGGGCATAACTTGTAAGCCCCTTTGTAAGGCTTTTTTTGCTTTGTGCAGTGTTTATCCCATTGTCCTCCTCACCTTTGCACAGATCCCAGGGTGATATGTGTGATACCATTTGTCCTCAGTAGTTCAGAAGCACCTTAGGGAAGCTGTTCTGACTGTGAAGTCTCTGTCTGTCTGTTAGTGGAGACCTTTGGGATCTCTGCAGCCCCTCTGTTACATGCCCAGACATGTGTCCCATCCCTCAGGCAAAGGACATGGAATTGGTGCTCCTGTGGGTGGTGGCAAGCCTCAGCAGTGGGCTTGCACCAGTGGGGCTGTTCTGCCTCTTGAGTTCACTTTGTGACATGCCAGAAGTCCTGTTTCATCCTAGGGACACATCTGATCCAGATAGCCACTGGCAGCCAAGTCTTGTAATATTAAATAAAAGCTAATTGCTATAATAAAGATTTAAATTATTTCCAGACACAACATGGCAGCCCTTCAACAACCCAGTTGTTCTGGAGAGGTGCATCTCCCTTATGGAGCAAAATACAGCACATTTTCCTGTTGTCTCTGGCTCTGAACTGTTTGGTGTGGAAAGCAGGGATGTAGTTTAATACCTAGAAAAAATAACAAATTGGTTTTTAGTGACGTTGCATTAGTTCATCTAATCTCAGTCACCGTGAAATAAATAAACTATTTCCTGTTCATTTTATCTGACCTTGATTCTGCCCTTGCTGTGCAGTGGGAATACCCCAGAGACCAGAGGAACAGCCTACGTGGTCTACGAGGACATCTTCGATGCCAAGAACGCCTGTGACCACCTGTCGGGGTTCAACGTGTGCAACAGATACCTCGTGGTTCTGTACTACAACGCCAACAGGGTACGAGCACCTGCTCTGAGCACAGCTGTCACAAAGAAACAACCCCAGCATCAGTGTGTAAAGACTGTTGCTTGGGTGTTTTATAAGAAATAGAATCCAAACTGTTAGAGGGAGTGAATGGGATACATGGTCAGAGTTTCATATTTACTTGGTGGTTTGTGTGCAAGAAAAGTACCTTTGGACAAAGGGTGGGAAAAACATATTTGTGGAGAGTGTGGAGAAGAGGGTGCAGAGGCCCCACAATTGCACAGCTGCAGTAGCAGGTGAGATCTTATTTTTGGGTAAAAACAACTTCTCTATGTCCTCCCTGTCACCAGTGACATCCAGGGCCCTGTGACATTCTCCAAGGACAAGAATCAAACAATGTTCTCTGTGTGTGATGGTGATGGAGTTCATAGTGGTGCTTGTTGCAGATACTGGGAAATAACTTGTCATGAGATGAGAGATTACTTTGTCTTCTTACATCTTTTATTTTCCTAATTACAGGCATTCCAAAAGATGGACACAAAGAAGAAAGAAGAACAGCTTAAGCTTCTCAAGGAAAAATATGGAATTAACACAGACCCACCAAAATAAACTGATCCTTTTTGAAAAACTGGTGTCAAGCCCTGTCATGGAGTTCTTGGCCTAAACATAGGAATTCTTAACAAAGTGTAATTTTTTTCTGTTACGAATTTGATAAACTGCGGTATGAGTTTTTGTATCTTCAGATTAGGATTAAATAAATGTAGAACACAGGGAGATCTGCTTTAAGATTAAATCCCCCAAGACGACATGGCTTCCCTGTGCTGAGGGTGACCTGGTAAAGGCTGCAATGTCCTGTTTCTAGCAGGAGCTTTCAAGAAGAGACTGAGCAGGTTCTGTGTTTGACTGAACAAAGCAAGCCCAAGCCCTTGTTTATAACGAAGTTTCTTTCACAAACTGTAGAAGATGAATGACTTTCAAAAGGATCCAGCTGATAAAGGGACTCCAGTCCAAGTACCTTGTTCCCAGTGATGGTACCAGCTCTGATCAGCTGCAGTGAAACAGCTCAGCTCTCACATTACCAAAAAAAAGTGTATGGGGGCTTTGTTTTGTGTCCCAGGTTTGGACTGAGGATTTGGTATGAATTGAAGAACACGTGACCAAAATGAGACAGTAGATGAAGGTTTTCATTTTGATACCTGTAGTGTGATTGTTTTCTACTTGGCATGGTTGAACTGTAACACATTTTCTGTACATAGATTTTTTAGGTGTAGCATGTGGTAGAGGAAAAAATTTACATTTTTTGGGCTTTTTTCAGTACTCATGTCCTGTGTATAAAAATGAGTGTGATCCAGGCTGTGCATAGCCAGTATCTTTTGGAAGTGGGAAAGAATAACCTCTGCCTGTGTTCTGAACCAGCTGGAAGTTGTGTGAATGTGGGAAGTATCCTGCCTTGGGAGGATTTATTTGTGTGGATGTGATGTTTCACTCCCTGACCCGACAGCTTCCAGCCAGTGCAGAACCAGGGCAGATAACAATATACTTTGCCTGGAATTTGTAATCCAGTTTTGTTTTTCAGTGCATTGTACTGTAATAGAGAAATGCTTCCATTTTCTGAAATTACTTTTTTGTTGAAATATGTCACTTCAGGAACAATGCTATGTCAATTTGGTGAAAAAATAAAGGCATATTTTGCTTTTTTTCATCAAGGCTCTGCTGCTCCTGCCTGTAACCTGTGCTGTTAGATGGGAGTAATTTACCACCCGAGTGTTTGATGCAGGCAGGAGCTGCAGCACATCAGTCCCTGTGTGTGACAGGAGGGTGCTCAGCTGTGGGAACAATGCCCACATCTCACCTGGAGGAGATCCCTGGAGCTGCCCTGTGCTGGGCACCTCCTTTGGCAGCTGGAAGGGGCTCACAGCAATACTCACATTTACTAGCTGGAACCAATGAGAAACTAAACACTCATAATTTTGCACTAAATGGTCCTATTTTCTTCATTCCTCAAATAAACAATTACAAATTAATAAATCAGATGCTACAAAGAAAAGGTCAGTAATGGCTCGTGAAGAGTGAGCTCCAAGCCAGCTCTGGGGGAAAGCAGCCATGATGCTGAGGTGTGATTTCAGCTTTGGGTGGGTGCTTGAAGTCCTATCCTGTGCCTGACCCTGGAGCACACTGGAACAGATCTGCCCTGCCTTCCCTTGCACACAGGCACTGGGGATGTGAGCCAGAGCCATGCTTAATGCACAATTCCCCCAAATCTGCATCTGTCCCTTGAAACTGATGCTGTTTTTACAGCAAGAAGCCATGCAGGGTGCAGTAACCCTGGCTGAGGTCAGGAGCAGGCACTGGGAGGCTGGGAGCCCAGAAGCTGGGTTAGGGGAGCAGTCCCTCCATGGCCAGCCTGGCTTCCATCAGGTTAGGTTAACACAAACCAAGAGCTCTCAGGCAAGAACCAGGCTGCATTAAAAATCTTTAAATGAATTAAATCCTGCTGGGGGATTTGCTTCTATATGAGCATCCATATATTTCATCTATATGAGCATCCATATATATATATTTCAAGGGTTACAAACTGCTCTGCCCCCAAATATGTATATTTTATATATATAAATATATATATTTATATGTGCCATGTATATACGTACTCATCCGTGTACCAAACACTTGGATAACTGAAATCATTTATACCAACTGCTGGGCATTGAGAAGGCTCCTTGCTGAAACGAGAACTGGAGGTGCTTGTTGCCATGCTGGATTTATGGCTCTGATAAATAATGAACACTGATAATAAATACCAGAGTGCCAATAATGGTGCTGCATGCTGCCAGCCTTGTTTTATATCATATGCAAATACCACATTGCTTCTGTCAATAGCAGAGAGCATGGTGCTTGCACTGCGGTGTCTGTTTTGATGAGGATTTGGTGCTGTTTGAAAAACATATATAAAAAGCAATTCTTTAGGGTAATAAGATTAATAAAAATTCCTTCAATGAATCCTCAAGATCAGCAGCTTTTGATTTCTCTGAGAGCTCAGCTGCCGCCTTTCATTAAATATTCCATTTCATAGTTTTTCTCCCAGTGCCTGTTCAGGGCTTTCAATGTCCCTGCACATGTAAAATGAAATAATAATTTGTACCTGCAAGACAGAGGGAATGGAAATGGAATGCCCGGAGGACTGTTTTGATGAGATCTACTCAAGATTTTGTTTGAAATGTAATATCAAAGAACAGGGAAATGAGTTCAGCTCATGAATGGCAGAGGGGCAGCAAATAAAGCAGATGTTACCAGGCTCGCACTCTGCATCTGTGCTGGTTTTTTGTGTGCTCACTTCCCATTTAATTTTTCAGGAAATAGGGCATGAAATTAAGACTTGAAGGTCATTTTTTTTTTCAATGAATCTGTTTAGAAATTAGTAACAAGAGTATATCTGATTACACAGGCAATGACAGTAAACTTTTTCCAATCTATTATACAGGGGTAATAATTATATGTACTCTGTTGATCGATGATACAATTAAATAAATTAACGCATTCGCAGTCAAATAAAGAGCTGAAGATTCCATTTCCTTGAAGACTTAATTTCCCTAAGTATTACAAAGCACAATTAGTTTTCCTTTCAGATTTTTTTCTTTTTAATGAAATTGGCATGAAAAATGTAATAGTCCCTGTTTCGAACCAAGGTCTCCGCAGGGAGGAGGCGGTGAGGGAGAGCTTCATCAGCCAGCTGTAATAAGGATTTTACAGAGTGGGTAATGGCTGGTTTGTGCTGGGAGGGCAGAAAGGAAGGGCACAGTGGCAGCTCTGCAGATAGAGGTGATAAGTACAATCAGCTTTCAGAGCCCAGCAGGAATGTGCTGGTGAGAAACCCGCAGGAGCAGAAGGGCAGAGCCATGCCCTGCCCGTTGCCACAGATGCAGCAGAAGCTCCCAAGCACGGCCGAGAGGGGATGGAGGGAGCATGGGGCCATTCCAGGCTCACTCACACAATCCTTGGCATTGCCATTTGCTGTTGGGACATTCAGAAAGGGGCCCAAAACAGGTGCTGGTGAGACCAGCACCTGCATCTCTCTCTGGTGAGACCCCACCTGCATCCAGCTCTGGGCCCCTTACACAGGAAGGACATGGAGCTGTTGGAATCAGTCCAAAGGAGGCCATGAAGATGCTCTGAGGGCTGGAGCCCCTGTGCTCCAGAGACAGGCTGGGAGAGCTGGGGTGGCTCAGCCTGGAAAAGAGAACAGAGGGATGGAGCACCTCTCCCATGAGGAAAGGCTGGCAGAATTGGGATTGTTCAGCCTGGGAAAGAGAAGCTTTGGGGTGACCTAACTGTGGCCTTCCAGTACCTGAAGAGAGCTGACAAGAAAGATGCAGAGTCTATTTACAAGGATATGGAGTGACAGAACAAGGGGGAATGGCTTCAAACTAGCAGAAGGCAGAGTTAGATCACAGATTAGGAAAAACATTCTTTATTGTGAGGGGTGGTGAGACACTGGCAAAGGTTTCCAGTGAGGATGGTTGTGGATGTTCCATCCCTGGGTGTGTTCAAGGCAAGGCTGGATGGGCCTTTGAATGACCTGGTTTAATGGAAGGACCTTAAATTATCTTTAAGGTCCCTTTCAACCCAAACCATTCTGTGATTCTATCACACTTTGGGTTTTTTTTTTTTTTTTTTTTGTTTTTTAATAAGCAATTAACTTAAATTGGGCCATTGATAGGAACAGCTTAGATCAATGTGCTGAATCAAACTGTGTTTGACAGGCACAACACAGCCACACCACCTTTAACCAAGACTTTGGGAAGTACAGTTTGTGACACAGTGGTGAAAGGAAGGCCAGCAACAGAGGCCAAGGCCCTGGCAAAGTAGAGCAGAACATTTTGAAATTATTTGGGAAAGCTGGTGGACATCAGATCCTGACAGATCCAATTACCAATTTTTAACAGGAAATTAGCATGCCCTAAATAAAAGAACTATTAGTGGAGGTGTAACCCAGCTGCTGCAGTGACCTGAGATTTCCACCAAAAAAGGGGTTCTGAAAATCCCTTCATTTCTTTACGGAAAGCAGAGTAAGAAAAAAATTTACTCAGTGTATAAAAATCTGTAAGATATGGATTTATGGGTTTATTAATTAACAAGCTAAAATAAATGCATCTCTGTGGGTAAAATGAACACCTGAAGGGAGAAGACCACGAGCCATTGTCCCCAGCCAGATCACCAGTCTTGCTTCTCTGTACTCATTCCCTCTCCCCAACTCCAGAAGTGTCACCTGGGGTCATCTCTGTAGCTTTGCTGTCTGACTGCTCATGCTGGGAGTGTTCTCCTTACACAGATACAGAAACAGCACAAGTCTTTGAAATATGACCATCAAAACATCTGTTAGTAGAAAGTAATGCAAATAGTTTATATTCAAGTTAAATAAAAGTAACATCACGACCCTGGTTTTCTACAGAGAAGAGGAAAAATGAGCCTAATGGAAATCAGACAAGGCAAAATAACAGCACAGACCTTGCTGATGAGGTCCTGCTCCCAAATTCAGGTAAGTAACAGCCAATATATCTTCCTGCCTCCAGAGGAAAAGCCAGCATTTCATGAATTCAATTACGCAGCAAATGAAATAAATATTGCTGAGTCTCAAGTGCCAGAGGCCCAGTGCACAGTCAGTTTTCAGGCGTTGTAAACAGCAGCAGCTGCTACAGCCAAAAAACCCCGGAGTGTTCGGTGGCCACATCATCCCACAGCTCAGATTTCTTTTGAAAGGTGGATGCACATAATGCTGCTCTTTTCTAGCCTTGCTCAGCTCCAGTAGAAAATATTACACTAGTTTTGCTGTTGTGAAGGCACAGAATTAGACCAGCACTGCATGTCTTTGACAAGCTGCACTTTCCATCTCTTCAAGCAGCCAAATTTTGGCCAGAGTTGAGGGGCCATAGAGGGGCCAGAGTTGAGGGGCCATAGAGGCAGGGGAAATGGAGAAACTGAAAAGGGGAAATTGTCCCAGCACCCCTTACTTGCATGTCCCTGGTACCTCTGGTCCCACAAAGATCTTCCACTGGGCCATCTCTAATAAAAGCAGTGCATGGAGCTACATGTATTTCATATAAGAGAAATAATTAACAAAAAATGGGTTGACGATTGACAAACTTCTTGTACAGTAAAGAGCATCCTGGTAGCCAGAAGAGAAAAACAGGATGAGAAATGGTAAAGTATCAAGATTTTATTGTTTTATATATATACTTATAATTCTTAAATGAGACAGTATTTTTTTAAAACAGCAGCAAGCAGAACGTACAAGTTGAGAAAAGTGGCAGCGCAGGTAACTCTGTTTGGCTAATGCCCGTTCATGTACAAGGCGTACATTGGATTTTTGTCTTTTGAGCACCTTTTGTGGTTATTTTTTCTTGGTTTAAGTGTACAGTAAGGCAGTGGTTCTTTCAATAAGGAATATATATATATATATATTTATATTTATATATATTTTCAGTCATCACCGTGAATTCTTCGTACATGCAAATTCAATAAAATGTACAACTCGGAAATGTTACACCGGGAGACATTCTTCCTCAGAGCAAAGCTTCTAATAAAAGGCAAATACAGACACCACAAAGTTATAAAAGAGAAGGAAGGCATAGGAAACCAAGAGTCAGGCGCTACTGACAGGACAGCTTGAGCAGGGAAGGTTGGGATTCCAGTGAAGATTCCTCCTGC